GTGAAAACATCTTTTTGAGAAAAGCTTTGAGTGCCGTTCTTTGCTCTTCTTTTAATGAAGAAATGTTCTCCAGTTTTTAGTTTATATTTTCTGGGGCTTTTATTGCGTTTAATTGATAGTGACAGCTGGAGACAGACAGGAAAGGAGGCAGAGAGAGAGGGGATGACACGCAGCAAAGGGCTACAGGTCAGATACGAACCCTGGCCCACTGCAGCAAGGACTCAGCCTCGGTACGTGGGGGGCCAGCTCTACCAGGTCGCCTAACAGAGCGCCCCACTTTTCACATGTTGTCACACACACCTAGCGTTAAACCTGCCAGTAGCTCCTTATAGGACGCTGATTGGTCTGAACCACTGTGGTCTCCTGGCAAGATGGATTCTTGCGTGATTTCATAGTCTTGTGAGTCCGGCTGCCTTGCGAGGTTAATTGTAGGCAGTTGCATAGTTGCAAAGTACTTCTTTAGTGTTAAATCCAAAATGTTTCTTCACATTAGTTCTCTGTTGTTTTGGTGTTGTGATTATCTGTACAGCACAGAATTTGTTTAATACTGTGTGTGTCAAAGAGGAGAGCAACAAAACAGGACATGCAGTGGGTGAGATAGACTGTGTTTTAGGAACAGTGGAGTTATGACACGGCATTCAGACAGATTATTGCAGATAGGCGATTAGATCTTTTTCTACATTCGCATAGTAGTTGGAATTTCCAATAAAAAACAACAGTCCTCATGAGGTTTCATCCTTTAAAACTTTATGGAAAAACTATATTAACTTATTAAGTTCATACAGGTTAAGGTTAATCTGCCTATGACTGTCTTGTGGCTGCACATGTTCATGATTTCACTGTTCAGACAGTGTGCACATCAACCTCAGCAGGAAACAGATGTAGTCCTCAGACTATATTGTTTTAGTATTGCCCGCTTTCAAAAATGTAATGATGCAACAGTTCTTTAGACTTAAATCCAGTTTTAGTTAGTTAGTAATGTTAGTTAGTAAGTGTGATGTCATATTAAGATTTTGTAATATCATATGCTCACAGTATATGTTAGTAGTATTCCTGCCCATCACAAGGCAACAGACCTGTCAGTTCTAACACATATCCACAGGCTCACACTTTCAGGATGAATTTGAGTCAAATAATCAGATTCTTCTGAACTTTATTAAACCCCAAAGACTTGTAATGTTGGGCTTGTTCTTCAGAGTTTACACCATATGAAGAGGTTGGGATTAAGCATTATCTTGGATTAACAGATGTTAGATTAAATCTAAAGTCAGTTTAATGGTGTAAAACAGAATCAAAGGAGGACCTGTCACTGATGTTGTCTTTGTGTCTCCTGCTGCAGGTTTAGATGGAAACTCTGAGGACATCGACAGAAGGAAACAGGAGTTTGGACAGAACCTCATCCCTCCTAAAAAGCCAAAAACCTTTGTGCAGTTAGTGTGGGAAGCCCTGCAGGATGTCACGCTCATCATCCTGGAGGTGGCAGCCGTCATTTCACTAGGCCTTTCTTTCTACAGTCCGCCACATGCTGAGAGACGGAGTGAGTTTATCCCTTTAATTGTTCAAATGAAACCTTTGTATCTTATGTTGAGCCTGTGTGTGACCAGGGGTCTCACTGAACGTGTTTACAGAGACATTGTGATGAGATATGAGCACAGCTGTGAGATGATCAGACGCTCAAAATGTGTTTCCTGTCTGTCTAATTGTCTCGTCATCAGGCTTCAGTCAGTAAGGGCTTTTGGGACTTCCTGTGATACTTCACAGCAGCAGTATTTATGATAACACTGGTCCATGAAAATTATGTTCACACAGTGAGCAGCTGAGAAGCAGCTTCTTATATATAGACATTTATTCATTTCTAAATACATTCAGCATTGTTTCTGATGTTTTCCATCAATACTTCTTACCTAGCATATGAGAAATACTATATTATCCAGTCTAGCTCACCTGCTGAGCAACTGCCTCAGACTAAAACACACAGGTCAAGGTTTTATCTGTTAAACTCACTTTTTACACGATTATTGTGTGTGATGTGAAAACAGACTTAAACACAATAAGAGGAGAGTTGGCGTCTGGTTATAGTTCGCTCAAACTCTTTTCCTACAGGAGACACGTATAGCATGTGGGTCCACTCAAGGCTTATTTCTGTTCATATGAGACAACTGTCACAGCTTCATCTCTGCAGAGACTCCAGTCTGTGGCATAGTTCATACACCACAGACCTACAGTAAAATCAGTATGTTATATTAGTACACAATAGAGTCCATATGCAGGGATTCTGTTTTGTCTGTGAATCAATTATGTAGTGTGTAAATTATCAGCCCAAAGCCAGGCTGCATCTGACCCTGGTCGGGAGGACAGTTGAGAAAGACAGTTGGCTGATTTGCTTTTACCCATTCAGATGTGTGTTTGTTAGTCTGAATGCGGTATTAGCCAGATAGACCAACTACCATATATTGACCCGTATACAGGACAAGGTGCCAGATATATCTGATTGAACTGACACCTTTTAGTTAATCAAGTTCACCAATAAATTCTTCTAAAATCTTTTTACTGCTGTAGGCTGCTGCTTTAAAGGACCAGTGTAAGATTTAGTGCCATCTAGCAATGGGAATAGGAACAAGCTGTGAGGTGTATAGGTGAAAAGCCCTGTCTAAAGCCAATGTTAGGTTTGTCCATTCTAGGATAATGTAGAAACATAGTGGTTCAACATGGCGGCGTCCACAGAAGGCGAGCCGCAGCAACTGTAGACAAAAACTGCTCATTCTGAGGTAAAGCTAAAACACCACGAATCTTATTGTCAGGTGATTATAAACTAATAAAAACATACCTATGAATATTATATTCCATTTTCTGCCAATCCTTCTAAATGTTACACACTTTAAAGTGTTTTGAGTGATCATTTTCATTCTGACAGTCCACAGGACTTCATGTGTCATCACCAACACGTCACTGCAGAGTTAACTCTATGAACATATTCAGGCAACTACACAGCTCACATCTGCATGCATAAGGTTGTAACTTTTTGCGTCACAGCAGCAGTTCGTCCTCTCAAAGTTAAGACCTGGATCCTTCTGTGCAGGAAGGTCAGACATCCCTTCCTGTTGGGCTGCACTGTTTGAGTGTGTAAAGAAGCTATGGAAAATTGAAGAGGCATTGACACATATTCAGAAAGCAAACCCCAGCCTGTATTGTTTGTGTTCAGACTGTGGCAGTGCGGCTGTTGGCGTGGAAGACGAGAGTGAGGCAGAGGCTGGATGGATCGAAGGTGCTGCCATCCTTTTGTCGGTGGTGTGCGTGGTCCTGGTGACAGCCTTCAACGACTGGAGCAAAGAGAAGCAGTTCCGTGGCCTCCAGAACCGCATTGAGCAGGAGCAGAAGTTCACCGTGGTGCGAGGGGGGCAGGTGATCCAGATCCAAGTGTCCGAGATCGTTGTCGGAGACATCGCTCAAGTCAAATATGGTTAGAGAACAAAAAGTGTATAACAGAGCATAACATTGGTTTAAAATCAAGTTCCCTGAGTGATTTTTAGAGCTTGATATAAAACTTTAGTACTTTTAGTTCTGATTTAAACCACAATGTTATTTATTGTCGCCTGTTGTCCTGAACAACATCATCAAACCTTAATTTAAAAAATTAAAAATGTAATTTCTTTTCTCTATTAGTAGTCATGTGACAGACTGGTGGGTCCTTTCCATAATGTAACATAATGACCTGATGAGGGTGAGCCCTTGTTACAGTGTGTGTGTGTGTGTTTTCCAGGTGACCTCCTCCCTGCTGATGGTGTCCTGATTCAGAGCAACGATCTAAAGATTGATGAGAGCTCGCTGACCGGAGAGTCGGATCATGTCAAGAAGAGTCTCGACAGAGACCCCATGTTGCTGTCAGGTGCTTCACTCTTCTCCATTCACATCAAATTGCAGCCACGTTCAGTGTGACCTGCACTGTTATTGCCAGCTCTTACCAGCCATATCTTGCTGCTGATTTTCCACTGTTAAATTAAATCACCTCAGTGGTTTTCACACCTAAGATTAACATTAAAGCTCTTCCTACAAGGTAATAATACAACTTTGAACCAGAAACGACCATCAATTTCATGGTTATTATTTTAGGCAGTCACTCCAGTGACAGTAAAGTGATCATTTAAGAATATATTGTAGTTTTTGGAGGCAACCTATTAGGCCATCAATTTATAGCCTGTGGTTCTTATGCTCATGTAGGCACCAGGTGTGTTTGGCCCGCTGAATCTGCACAAGGTTTTGCGTTTACAGATGACATACGTAACACATTAACACAAGGTTAGACCCAGTGTGTGTCAGCAGCCACGCTGACTGACTCCTTATTGATGATTGACGCATTGATCTGTACTCTGTGGTACCAACGACCCAAACACTTCCTCTTCTCTCTGGTTATCGTTGCCTTGGCAACAACTAGCTTTCCTGGGGTCCATCTTCAAATAAATAATAATAATAATGTCTTACACAGTAAAAAGTAAAATAACAACATTAACCTTACATCAAACAATAAAATGGCATCAAAACCCTACATATGAAACTACTTTACTTTAGTACAGAACTGAACAGACAGGTCACCGGGGCAATACAACACAGTTCAAATGTTATAAGTGTAGCAGTTCGCTTCCAGTCCATATGCTCAAAGGGAATTAAAATGACTGCTTCTGATGACATCCAAATACACATACAAACCCAGTATGAGTCCACTGAACAAATTCATCACAGGAATACGGTTATGAAGGAATTATACATCTGATAATACTAGTAGACCACAACCAAGAGGAAGGAGAGCTCTATCAAATATCTATATTCACGTGTATACACCATTTGGACCAATACTTTATTGATACAAAGCCATAGAGAAAAAAGTCTCAGGTCAATTTCTCCATTTCATCCATTTCTTTTCTTATTGCTGGTTGGTCCTTATCTAACCATTTCTTATTTATTGCTTTTTTGCTAGCTACAAATAGTATTTTAACAACATACTTATCCTGAGTGTTAAATTCAGTTGGAATTTTACCTAAATGTATGGTGCCAAAACTATAATCAATACTCAAAACCCATTATTGATTTTATTTTTTTAATATCTGTAGCCAGTCGGATTGGATTACTGGACGATTCCAAAATATGTAAAAGTGATCAGCCATTGAATTATTACATTGTCTCCAGCATTGAATCTGGTCTACCATTCTGTAAATATGTTCGTCTTGGAGTAATAAAAAACCTAATAATGTTCTCTCCACTAGCCAGACCTGGAGGATTGGTGGATTGTATTTGTTGTAGATTCTTGAGATGTCAAGGACAGCAAACTGTTCCTGTGGCATATGACATTATGGTTTTTCATAGCATTGGTCTTTGGTTGGGGAAGAGTAATGTGACCCCCTCTTACCTTCTTTCTTTGATAACTGTGTGTATTTCCACAAAATATTTCCAAATGCAACCAGTATGGTAAAACTCCTGTCTCCCTCAGGTACCCATGTGATGGAGGGCTCTGGAAAGATGTTGGTCACCGCTGTAGGTGTGAACTCTCAAACTGGAATCATCCTCATGCTGCTCGGTGTTAGTGAAGATGCTGATGATGGTGAGGACAAGGCTGAGAAAGAGAAAAGGAAGAAGGAGAACGAGAAGAAAAAAGAGGAGCGGAAAAAGAAAGAGAAGAAGGACAAGAAAAGTAAGTTTAGAATATAGGGATCTTTGTTCTCTTTTTAATGGTTTATTGATGTTTTGCTCCATTTGTATGACTAACTAATGGCTGTTCTTACATGATTTTCCTTTGCAGGTAAAAAAGATGACAAAGAAAAGAAAGGTGAGCCACTTTAGCACTGTGAGTTACCGTATATGACTGGGTGGATGTGAAGGTTGAATCGAGTAGCAGCACTTTCAGTTCATCTGTCCATCAGTTATCTGTGTTTTTCTGACCTGTGGTGTTTCTGAGCTGCAGAACAGCAGCTGGTAACATTAGTTATGTCTGTGGAACTGCCTTATTAATGTTTTTATTCATCTGTCATGTTGGCTGTATTTACAGTAGGCTATGTGTTCTGTGAGGCAGTACAGAAACCAACAGGCTGTCAGGGGGCCGACGGTGTCACACAGTCGCAGCTGATCTGTCCTCCTTAGATGTGTGTAGTGTTTCTCTTCCTAATTGTGGTGATTGTTGTGAAGATTCAGTCTCTGACTTGTCAGAAATGCAATAGTCTGGATCAAACCTGTGAGACATTGTTTTTTTGTGTGTTTCTGTTCTTGTGAAATGTAATCAGTGACTACATTTACATGCACACTTCTTTTCCACTATAATTCTAAATATGACAATATTCCACATTTGATAAGGGTCATGTAAACAGCCTTTTCTGCTTGGATATGCCTAATTAGACGTGGGATATACCAATATTATTCAGGTTTTAGGAGCATTCTTTGGACGTTTATACAGCACATTTGGAATATGCGTCTCAATTGGGGTTTTTACCGAGTTCTGAAAGACTTCGATATCAACAGGTTTTAAGATAAACGCAAATGTCGCAATTCCAACATTTCAAAAAGGTGGTTAAATGAGTGAAAGAGGAACGCTGTGTTTGCATGGTCAAACAAGTCTGGAAACCGAGAACGTTGGTGGAAGGTCTTAGTTTTTTAAGTTACGTTAAAGCCTGTTCACACATTGGCAGTAAAAAGTGATTCATTTGTAGAATGCTTCAGAATCTTATATTTACATTTACAAGAGGTGGTTCTGGTCAGACCAGTCAAAGACCCTGCAGGACATTAGGGGTCTAAGGCGCATCTCAGGTTCTGAAGTCTGTAATTTCTGGGTTCCCCTGGTTCTGCTAGTGGTCCTTTTGGTCCCACGTAGTGCAGCGTATGTCCCTGTGGTCTGAGCAGCAGCAGCAGGTGCTCCTGACTCTGTTGATGGTGATTAGGACCAAGCAGATTATCGGCCTTAAGCTCGGCAGCTGCTTTCTTCTCCTGCCTGCTGCTGCCTGCCTGTCCACTAATAACCTCATTACTGAGCTGGGATCAGCACGCTCACACACACACCAACAAATGCACACACACACCTGCAGATACCTCACACTGTCACAGAGCTACAGTGTCAGTGGACTCTGTTTGTAGTGCTGTTAATTGTTACCGTAGTGATCCAGAGGAAACCGAGATAATGTATTTGGGTTAGTGAGCTTGTTGGTTTGTTGGCAGTAAGTTAGTTTGAAGGTCTGCTCTCTGACTCTACATGAAGTTCAACAACACAGCACAATAAACTCAGACTGGGATTAGACAAACATTTGACACACAGCATCGTAACCCCGCCCTCCACTTTTTGTCCAGTACTTTAATGACTTTATCCTGATGACAAAATGTTAGTTGTGTGATGGAAAAGTGGACAGTGTGACCCACATACTGACATCATCATCCTCCGGTTCTGCTGTGTTATTACAAGCATATGTAATCATATTTTAGTAAGGATCCTCCCTGTCCATGTTTAAATGTTATCTTAATAGATTATAAGTAGAGAGTATAATACAGCAATCCAAACAAGAACAGACATGTCACTCATTGAAGTTGAATTTCATACCCATCCCTACATAAAATGATTTTTCTTATTCACCCAATGTGTTCATTGGAGTGAAAATACTATATAATGGTCAGCCCTGAGACCTCAATACATTCATTTTCCTTGACTTGACTAAATCTATTAGTGGCAGTTTTGATGGCTGTGTTTTACTGAAGCAACAAGCAACTTCTGTGTCCTTTTTAGGAAAAAACAAGGATGGAGCCTCCGTGGAAATGACACCACTCAATGAGGACGGAGAACCAGAGAAGAAGACAAGCCTACCAAAGAAAGAGAAGTCTGTCCTCCAGGGGAAGCTCACCAAAATGACTGTGCAGATCGGAAAAGCAGGTATGAATCAGATAAATGTCCAGTGTGAATATTAGATTAGATTAAACTTTATTGTCATTGCAGTGCAAGTGCTGAGACAATGAAATGCAGTTTAGCAAAAAGAAATACCAATACATAATACCAGATAGTAAGTACCGTAGTCAATACCAGTACCAGTGAAATTTAACAATATTTGATACCACAGTAAAAATGTCCCAATAAAGTGTTTTTGCTCCTGATCCCCATTTAATATCTGCTGATACTGAGTCCTGATCCAATACTTGTATTTTCCTTAATAATACAGGTAAGCTCTGCATGGCATTAAGAAACAAAATTGCCTGCAACCAAGCTGTTCCTACATTGATATTAATACAGCCTATAATATATGTATTTTATACTAAATTACTAATAAACAAACTCTGTAATCTCTTTGAATTTTGTCAATCTGGTCTTGTCGCTTTCTCCAGGGAATTTAAAAGTCTCTTGCAGAGTTTGTTGCTTCAGTACAGCCTTTACCTGAGTTGAGTGTTTATTTCCTCGTCTGTAATAAATTACCCTTATTTGCTTTTTGTTTGTGGGGCTTTTGTTGCACGTGCAGTGGCGTGGTGAGTGTGCAGCTCCCCACTGTCTCTGACCAGGAGCCCCCCTAGATAATAGAATTGCCTGCATCCAAGCTGTTCCTTATTGTTTTTTTATATATATATATATATGTACTTCTGTGTTGCCTTTAAAGTTAGTAATTTAAATAAATTCTTAGTTTAAAAAGTGAGATTATTAAGTTAAAACATTCAAAACATTTAATTTATTTGCGTTGGTTCATATTGTGTGCTGCCCTCTACTGGTTGGGGCTATTTCTGCAGTCAAGTACATTCTTCAGTTGAGCACAGACAGTGCTGGATACATGTTGCTGCTGAATTTAATTCTGACACGCTTCTGCCTTGGAGACTATTTGTCTGTGAGTAATATGTGTAAATAATTAGATAGCATACAGCAGTAGTTAACTCTGTACACTGACTGACTGTCACTTGTAGTTGTGGCAGTTGTGCTGTATTTTTTTTACACAGTATAGTGCTGCTTTTTGCTTTAGTAGTAATTTGAATGTACATCATTATGTATGATTTCTTTTTCTTTAATGTCTTCAAGAGCAGTACAACTTCACTAAATAACAAAGTACTACTACAAATTAGTATAAAATAGCTGAACAAACTCTGTAATCTTTTTGGGGGGCGCTGCTATCTCCAGGGAATTTCTCTCTCCCTTTAAAAGTCTCCTGTAGAGTTTGTTGCTTCAGTGCAGGCTTTACCTGAGTTACCTGAACAAAGTGTTTATTTCCTGGTCCATACATCTTTTGTGCAGATTACATTGTAAATGACTCTTAATGGCTTTTGTTTGCGGAGCTTTTGTTGCACTTGCAGTGGCGTGGTGAGTGTGTGGCTCTCCACTGCTGTCTCTCCTCTGACCAGGAGCTCAGCCCCGCCCGCGATGGTGTGACTAGAATATTTGTAGCCACATATGCTGTCCTGTCTGGTCCGGAAGAATTGCATCCCTGGTACCTACAGTGCTGTAGAAAAATGAGTACCAACTAGAGCCAGTGTCCATCAAGCATCTCAAAGTAGGTCCTAACTGTGCAAAGATTCTTGGTGGTGGATATTTGCTCCTAGTCTTAATACTAGTAATACTCGTAAAAGCATTAGCATTGTATCACCTATGTTGATAAGTGCAGTGCTGATATTTAGAGGAGTTCCAGAAGTCCCCTAACTAGGACTGCACATAACGATACATTTTTAGCGATTAACAACTAATTTATCTTATAATTATCTTATAATTTATTTAATACTTGTTTAATATAACAATTGACCCCAAATAAATATCAAAAACAAACTAATACAGCAAGAAACAAAGTATGCACTGTATGTCACAGCAACCCTTTCCCTAAACTTGAGAATCAATTGTTTTACTTAAAGGTCCAGTGTGTAACATTTGTCTTTTCATCACCTACAGACTCAAAAACTCTTTCGTCCCTCTGGCC